AGATGATTGCTATGTATTTCTTTAATGGATGGCCATGGTATCATTCACTAAGATAGAAAATACCCAATTTATAGGGGCAAATGGTAAGTTTTGCTGTGTTCTGTGGATATTTACATGCATGTTATGTCCAAGTGCCAATGTTCAGAAATAAGTTTAAAAAAACCCTTAGACCTCAGAGGATATAAAACATGGAAACTGTTTGGAACCAGGTTTGACACACGGTATACACAATAAATGCTTAGTATGATTTCAATTATTTTAAGTATTACAGGAGATGTGGGTGGAGGGAGATCTATCACTGTTGGTATACTGATATATTCCATTTTTGAAAGGAGGTAAGATTAAAATAGAGTTAAATCTGAGATGCTACTGTGGGAAACATCATTTGAACAAACACCTGTGTGAATAAGGTGCTGAGAGTGCTCAGTAAGTGCCTTGTCTAATCCTTCCCTCAGGTGATGTCACTTCTAAATCACCTCTGATAGATGAAATTTGTTCTCTATTAAATAACTCATTCTAATGTTTAATAACTGTCGAAGTTACTTGTTTTCTTCTAGTTGAATTTGTCTAAATATAGTGAGAGGTCAAATTACTGGGCCCAGAACACAGCTCCTTAAAACCCTAATATATGGTATGATTTTGTTTGCTTTATATTTGACACCAGGGCTAGAGTCCCTGGATATAATATGATATCCTTGGATGCAAAAATGTAATGCATTTTCAACATCTTTGTTAGAATCTTAAGTTCTTCATCAGGTGCGGCATACAGATAGAGCCCCAAGATTAACTATGTAGGCAGGAAAATTGGGGAGGAAATGAAAACCTGTCATCCATGTCATTACTTCAGCACTAAGCCTGTAGGAAGTAGGAGAAGTGTCACTCAGAACCTCTCTGCAATTGCCTGAGCTGCATCAGTGTCGTCAGCTGCATGATCCAACCATTTAGAGCTTGCTGAAACTCTCACCTTTCTCCCCCATCTATGCGCCCCCTTCCTCTCTATGGAAGCAGGGCCAATGTTTGTTCAAACTCAGTGGAAAATAGTAGCAAGCATGATCTTGGTTTGGTTTGTCTTTTCACGGTAACAGCTAACACCTTACTTGAATGCTTGACAAAGAGCTAGGTGCCATCCCAGGCACTGTGCAGCATCATTTCATTCAACCCTCATAGCAACGGCCCTAGGAGGTGGCAGCTATTATTATCTGCATTTTACAGATGAAGTGTCTGATGCTCCAAGGTTAAGTAACCTGCCCAACTAGTAGGAAAGGAAATTGGAGTTCAAAAGGAAGTCAGACCATTGACAGAAGAAAATCTCCTAACTGCTGTGTCCTCAGCCTCACTGATGGGCAGAGTGTCAAGAGCATGGACAGTGAAGAGAGTCGGCTGATCCTCTTGAATCTTCAACAGCATCCCTGAAGCTATGTGGCTTCTATTCTACCTCTGAAGGCACAGAGCAGGCAGTGGCTCCTGCTGTATTTGAATACAGAGGTGTCCCTGACAAGCCCGGCCACACAGCTTCCTGAGCCTTCACAATTCCAATATGACTGTGCTGCTTTCACCAGGAGAAAAACTTCACCCTTCAGTGAAGATAAAGCTGACTATCTCTTCAAAACATAAATGTGGGACTGGGGGTGTAGCCAGAGTATTTGCCTAGCATGTGCAAGGCCTTGGGTTCAATCCCCAGTACTCCAAACAAAACAAAAACTAAATGTAGTTTAAATTCACACTGAGCCATCTGTGATGTATGTGAAGATCCATTTGGATTAGCTCTAGCTTGCAGAAATTGGGGAGGAAAGAAGAAAGAATAGATAGCTACAAAGAGAATATTCAGAAATAAGGATGCCAACCCTCAAGTCAAACTTAACCAACAAAATTACGGGTTGCCAACCAGTCCATTCCAAAGTATTCTTCCCAGTACATAGCCTTGAACACCAAGTGCAGTACCAATACCAAGGTTCCTTCCCCCTTGCCTCTCATCCTTATTTCTGCGATTTATCAGAAAATGCTTGTTACTTGAAGAAAGGAGTCTATTTCTTAGAAATAATCTGCAGCTGATATAAATCATTGTTTCTGGATCCCACACTGCTCTACTGTGTACTGAGGAAGCAGAAATATCCTGCAGGACCTGGAGAATGATAATCACAGTTGGGCTGTTCTGCCCCACTAGTTCATTCAGGTCTTCTCCAAGGAGCTCCACATGATTATGAGCTATTTATTCCCTGAGAGGCTTCCAGAATTGACAGAGAACAAAGGTGAAGAGATCTGCCTAGGAATGCTGGGGTGATTCTGTTATTTACTTTAAGTCACAAAATCAAGTTAGCCCCAGTGAAATATTTATAAAATGTCTTATTATCCACGTGAGACTAGAGCTCAGTTCAGGGACAACCCAGCTTCTCCAAACATCAATCTTAATGACGAGCCAAAACCACCTACTGTTTAAATTTTCACCAGAATATAAAAAGATGAAAGAAATGTAGATAGACCTCATCATTTTTAAAGTACTGAATATGAATGGAAAAAAAATTGTCTCCCTACGAGAAGTGAAATACAAAGGGGCAAGTTAAACTGTATGCTAAGGAGGTAGAGGAGGCTAATTCCATGGTTTTTGGCTTACTAGGTAAGATTTGAAAAATTGAGGCCAAGACTAAATTGTTCCTTGCCTGAACTAAAGACAGCCAGCACTCAGATTCCCCCTTCTCTTAGGAGAATCCCTGAGAGATGTTACTGGGTAGGGTAATATGGGGCCACTCACAGAGTATGATGGGAATGCCACATTATTCCCCAACCAACAATAGCCCCTGGGGGCCCTAGTTGAGCGAGAGCTCCATGCTCTATGTGGATAGTGGCTGGTTCTGTTCTCTTGAATATGCCACTCAGCATCTAGACACATGCCAGCCAGAGGCAGGCCATTGCTCAGCCCCAAAGGGCCTATTTGAAACGTGAGCCATTTTGGTCCACTCCCTTCAGGCTGAATTTGATGGTTCCAAGCTTTGTTGGTTTACCCACCGAGAGAGTAAATAACATAGAAGATTGGGATTAACTTTTTCCCAACACCCTTCCTTTCTCCCCACATCTACATTGCTTTAATTTTGTCTCTCGGCTTCTCAATTCAACTGGAGGAGAACCAGATATGTTTTTTCTGCCCCTCCCCCTACAGCTGTCTCCTTACTCAGTAAGAGTCACTCTTTATTGCAAAACCAGATCATGCTTGTCCTTTCTTGAAAGCCTCTGAGTGCTTTTCATTGCCAATGGAAAGGGCATAATCCTTACACAGAAAACAAGACCCTCTGTGAGTGGCCCCAGATTACTCTGCTCAGTATCATCTCTCAGGGATCCCTTCTTTCTGCTCTGAGTTTCAGCCTTTGGTGAAATTCACAGTGCAGTTTCTCCCTGGGTGCTGGGGTACCTTCTCTTCCCTCCACCACAAATAAAGATCAGGTATTTTGTGGGAGACCCCTCCATTGGAGTTTATCTTGTATTTATTTCATTGTTACACTGGGATTTGTGGTTTGGATAAAGTGCCATTCTCTTTGCACAGCCTCGAGGATAAATGATATTAACATGTCCTTTTGCTGTAGATATTGACCTTATTCACCTGAATAAGTTGTGAAGTTGTATTTGTCTGGCTGAAGTTGTATTTGTCTTCTCTACTGTAAGGCCACTGACCTATCCCTGGCTCTCCCCTATTGTACTTTTTGAAGGAAGTCAATATTGCAGTTCACACTTGATGCATGGAAAGGGTACTCCTCCTCCTCAAAGTAGCATCTACACAAATTATTAAGTTAGTTTTTTTTTTAAATTTTGTTCTGTTGGATACCTACTTGTACTCAAGGTTTCTAATAATCCAGTTGGCTTATTCTCCGTGGATTGTTTTAACTTTAGGTAGTCATAGATTAGTGTAAAAGGTAGATATTTGGTTCAGTTTTTAAATATATTTTCTAGGGCCTATCCTTTAAACTGGAATTACATGCTATGTTTGAAATATACAGTATATAGTCTTTACTTAATCTTTACCAATAACAAAGAACATTTATTCTTTAGAAAAAAGGTGAAACAAAACACTTGAAATGTTAATGGCTCAGACTAGTAGAAAATGAAAATTTTTGACAAACAAGACTATTTGTGTTTTACATATATCTGTCCAAGAGAGGTGGTAGAAGAAATTGACCATTTGAGGAAAAATAAGTGCATTTCAAGAATTTGTTCTTTTACTTCCTCAAGTCCCACTCCAGCATGACTTAGTATAACTTATTACTGAGTATCATAATTCAAGCAGAAAGGTCATGCAACATTTTTTCTTTGTTTAATATACTTTACCAAGCCAAATACAATGTCACATGCCAGTACTCCCAACAACTGAGTGGGCAGGATTGCAAGTTCAAGGCCAACCTCAGCAACTTAGTGAAGCCCTAAGCAATTTAGTGAGACCTTGTCTCAAAATAAAAAATAGAACATGCTGGGGGTATACTCAGTAGTAAAGGTAAAGCACTCCTGGGCTCAATCCTCAGTACAAAAAAAATTAAAAATTATATATTATGTATTTAAAAATTTATATGTTATATATAAATGTATATGTGTATGTTTTATACTTCTTTATTCTGTTCTTGAATTGACAAGTCTTTAGAGTAAACATCTCTTGGCAAAATATATTGGCTTTGTAAAACTGTTCTGTTTTTGAAGACAGAAAAATCTACCACAAAAAAAAAAAAATGTCTAGTTTTATCCCCCCACACACACACAAAGCCAGCTTGACAAAAATGCAGCAACTTGCACACAATCAGTAACTAGTTCATACTTGGTTGTTCCACTGAATTCTACTGTTTTTCTTCCCAGCCCAGTTTATGTGTAGATATAGCCTAAAATACAGATCCTCTTAAATTTACAGTAAACTTTTTATCTCTAAACGTTCCTAATAACTAGACAGTTAAGACATGGCTCAAATGGCCTGAATTTGATCCTTGGAATTTCCCTAAAAGTGCTTTCTCTGGGACAGAATTTCCCTGAGGAAAAAAGGAACAAAAGAAATGCAGTCAGTCTTTATTTTGGAATATCTGAATTGGTAAGGGAAGGGAACTATTAGTCACAGAAAATGTGCCTTAAATTTGAACTTTGCAAAGTGGAACTACATAATATTTATTAAAGTAAAAATATAAAAAGCCATGGGCAATAAAACGAGTGACACAGGTGTCTCAGCTTGGCCATTTCATTTAGTTCTGAAGTTACCACCTATGGGGCACATCGTTCTTCTTGATGTTTTCCCCATGTCCGAGCAGGAAGCACTGGATGATGTCTCAGGAGACACAACAGATCAGATCTATTCAGCCAAGAACAGCAGAAGTTCAGGAGAGACTGCTGTGGACTCTTCTATAAAAGAGGAATTGCCTTTGAAACCATTCACGTCTGTACGTGCTGACAAGACATGAGACTCACAACTGTTACATCTGAAAAACAGTATTTAAAGCAGGGCTTTGCTTTTGGTAAAATAAAGACCTAAAGTTTAATTGTCTAAATATGCAAACTGAAAATGTCTAGAAAGATATACACTAAAATGTTAGAGGCTAGTGCTGAATAGTGGCAATGTGAATGGTCTTAATTTTCCTCTTGAACTCTATTACACTTTCTGAATATTTTCTAATACTTTTTTTTTAAAAAAAAGAAACCTTTTCAGAAAAAGATAGAAATCAACATACTTTTCCCTTTCTTGCTGGAATTTTCTTTCTGTTTTGTTTCACACTTCTCTCAACACTCTACAAATACAACACTATTATATTCTATCATATTTGCAACAAAATGGAAAGAATTTAGATTCATTGAAGACATATATTGATGACATGGTATATGATGGGTTCTAGGGTTGATTGGAGGCCACATGGGGGAAAAAAACAAAAATCCCATTTGTGTTTTTTTTCCCCCTTAGAAGAATTTTTAAAGGCCTCTGAAGGTTTATAGAACAATCTGGCAACAACCCAAATTGTTGTATTTACAGCATCTGTTATCATTGGTGGTCGTAAACATAACTTGACATTTTTCCAAGAGAAAGAGAAGTAGGCAATGCTTGCTGATTAATTCACATAAATAAAAGCCTTGAAATCTCCCGGAACAGATAAAGTCTATCACTGTCCCTTGGGGAGGAAGGAGGGGAAACTTGTACATTTAATAGGCAAAGGTTCTCATGTTGAAAAGAATTTCAGCACTGATTTGAGCACTTTTTGAATTGTAAAATAGAATTTCCAGCTGCAAAACTTAAACATGCATTGAGTTCAGTGCTATTTAAATCCAGAGAAGGATACGGGCAGTCACGATGGAGGAATGCACTCTTCACATTCCCGTTACTGTTTCACATTCCTCTTCACATTCCCCTGTCCACTCAAGACGTGGACATTCTTGGGATCAAGTACTCCAGGAGGTGTGAAAGCATGCACAAAGAAGCAAGGGTTCAAGGAGACAACTACAGAACCAATTAGAGTCTAGTGGGCAACTTTCCAGACACTGAAAAATTCCTTGAATATGGAAAATCACACGTAGAGTTTGCAAACATGGGTTCTAGAGCAGAGCTCCAGCCTTTAATGCTCATACGAATCACCCTAAGAGGGGAAGCGAAAGGGAAAGGGGAATTATTGGGGACTAAACTAGAACAAATTATATTCCATGCTTTTATAATTAACAAAATAAGTCTATTATCACATATAACTAAAAAGAACCAATTAAAAAAAAAGAATCATCCTGAAAGCTTGCTGAGGCACATATTACTAGATCCCACATCCAAATAGTTGGATCTTTAGTCTAAAGTACATCCAAGAATCGGCATTTTTAAATAAGTGTCCGGGTGTTCTTGATGCTACTGACCTGCAGATGAGACTTGGAGGATAAATTCAGGGTTGCTGGCCTCAAATACTATCTTCACCACTTGCATGCTGTTAAACAAGTAAATGAGCTGATTCTTCTCTAACTCAATCAGCTCCTGTATGAAATGGGGTAATAATAGTTCCCACCTCATAATGCAGGATTAAGTGAGAGAAGCCATATGAAACTGCTGGCAACACAATAAATATCAGTTGTTATTATTAATATCATAATATTGAAATATTTTATCTAACTCTCCTGATTTAAAGTTGAGGAAGTTGAGTTTCCAACAGAGTGAGTAAATTTTCTATGATCCCAGACCTAATGACCAGGGAAGCTGGGAGGTGGACCCTGAGCTTCCAGGCTTTCTCAGGACATGAAGCTGACTCTGTCCAGGGACATCTTGGAGACACTGAACAATTTTAGTGAGTCTCAAACTCAAGATCTTCATGTAGGAAAAATATATAAAAACAAGCCCAGAAAGGATATAGACATCTGACAAAGCTTACTGACAACAACCTTGCACCACCTCTGCCAAAGGCCAAGGGAACCTACTGAATTGGGTTATCAAAATGGGAAGCCAAGGTCAATGTGAATGAGGAAACAGTTGCAGCCCTAATAACTGAGGTGTTGGCATAGCCCCTGTTTCTGGAGAAGACAAAGGGGATGGATGACATTAAAGACATCCCTTGACTGCCAGGAGAATGTTAGAGGAGGGATTCATAGTCACAGTCCTATCTTCCAACAGGACACTTGGAATAAGTTACCCAATGCATTGCCAACCTTTGACCTGCTGAGAAAATTCCTTAACTTTGCTTTCATAAAATGCACAATTAAGCATTTTTAAAAGAACGGAACAAACCTTCTTTCCCCAACTAGTAGAATGTGATGTATTTTTTCAGTAAAGCTGCTGAGAAGGGTAAAAAAATTCCAGCCTTGTTGTAATAATATGTCTTCTCCAGCAATCAAGGAATAGGGTACTCTTCTCAAGTCTCTAATTAGCTTTTTGCTTTGAGAAAATAAACAGGAGGAGAAGAAATCCTTAGAATATTCTACTTTAGATTAAGAACAACTTTATGACATTCAGAATATTCCAGTAATCCTTACACAATATCAGAAAACTGCTTTGAGTTTCACTAAATTGAGAGCTTACTTCATAGAATTATTATGATTAAATTAATATTATAAATAACCTGATACAAACCTCAGCACATAATAATTGCTCCAAAGTTTTGCTATTATTATGATGATGATTTGGTCCTAGGGGAAAGCCATAAGGATTACAAACTAGTTCAGTGATCTGTGACTTTCATGACTTCTCCAATGAGATAAAATAGAGAATTGTGATTGAGCGGAAGAGGAGAGAGATTTTGACTATAAAAGTTTGGCTAAATATAGAAAATAAGACTATTTACCAAGAACTGAGTTTTTTTAAAAATATTTTTTTAGTTGTCAATGGACCTTTATTTTATTAATTTATATGTGGTGCTGAGAATCTAACCAAGTGCCTCACACATGCTAGGCAAGCACTCGACCACTGAGCCATAACTCCAGTCCCTGAGTTTGTTTTTGATTTGCTTTTGTACTTGTTTTCAAATTGTACTACCCACTCTATAAAGAAACATTCAAAACTTTTCACTTGATTGATTTCAACCTAAAATAACCAGAACATGCACACAAAGTCACAGTCAGAAGTATATGTCCCTTTTCTCTTTCTCGTCCATCAAAACCAGAGTGTTAGTCAGATATGGTGACACATTCCTATAGTCCCCCTTATCAGAAGACTGTTGCAGGAGAATCACCTGAGCACAGGAGTTCAAGGCCAGCCTGAGCAACACAGCAAGAACTGTCAAAAAAAAATCAGATAGTTAAAGATGTGGTTATCTTGGAGAATATTTGCCTATCATGTTTATTTCATTAACTAATGTTTTAGTGTGTCCTGGCATCTTACTGACCATTTTTATTATTATTTAAAGTCAGAAAACATCCACTTTTTTCACAGTATGGGGCCCAAATGCATGTTTCAACTCATTCTGCAAATATAAAACTATGCAAATACTCAAGAGGATAGTAAAAATATGACCCAGTGCAAGCCCAAAAGTTTGCAATCATTTCTTGTTTGCAATTATTCTTTCATCTCCTTACAAAAGAATAAAGGCTCAGTAACAGGTGACTATTTCAGCTATGTAAAAACACATCAATGGGGAGCCAAGAAAAAGCATAGAAAACAACCCGTCAAACCTGTACCTTAAAGCTGCTTCTGCACCTCTTTCTCTAATCATGCTCTGCTTCCACTTCCATCCATTACTATGGGGTTCTTGACTCTACTTGTCTATTACAAGTCATATTCCCAGTTCTTTCCACACAATAGGATCTTGGGGAGTTTAGAACGCACCCTCAGCTGGTTCCTACTGATCCCTTCTTTAAAAAAAAAAAAAAACCTCATTGACTGCCAGTAGCCGCATGACACCCTCATTTCCTGCAAGGGACGATGCTGAAATTGGTGCTTTGAATAAGACTGCAGTTAAACGTTTTCTTCAATCTTGTGAATTTCATACAATAAGAAGTAGAAAAACAAGGGAAAAATGGAGAGGGGGCAGAGTTTCAATGTAAACTACAAAGTCTCTGTTAAGATTCACAGCTAGATGAACCTTGCTTCATGTTCTCCATGCTTAACTTCTTCCAGAGCAAACTTATGTCTTAGACAACAAGTTCTGGCAGGGGAGAGCGTCTAGACGCCTGCCCAGCTCACTCTGCTGTTCAGGCAAACACTTCACTTTTTTGAAGCCTGCTGACTAGCTACATCAGGTACAGGGTGTTGTTAATTAATCTAGTTCTTAATGCTACTTTCCCAGGAAGAAAAGCTTTGAGGAAATCAAAACAGCAGCAGCTTACCTAGGTGAATGCTCATTTAGCTAACATTAGCCCTCAATTGGATTCCTAATTCTATCACCAAGTGGAGGAGAAAAGGACAGCTTCATTTCTCTCTCTTTTGAATTTTAACTGAAGAACAAAAGTGGGCATTTTTCCCCATATGGAAGCTTATAAAGAGATAGTGACAATAGCTTTAATCACTTCAATGATTTACTTAACAGAACACAATGAAGAATTTCTCAAATAGCGAAATACAGTGTAATCTTCATCTGCAAATAAAATCATGTTTTTGATTGGCAGAGTTCAAGAAGATCCACTACCTAATTTGGAGCTAAAGAGCAATGATTTCTTGCATAAAAATTTGCAATTAAAAAGTATTTCTCTAGGAGGCTTCCAGGCCATCTGTCGCAAAGCTCCACTGATGGTTTATAGTCATCAAATTTTATTTAAAACCAAAGGTTCCCTGGGCCCTAAAAGAGCAGTGACTAGGCAGTAATGCAGTGCCACCTAGCTTTCCATCCCCAGATGTCCTCTATCACTGAAGAAGCTGGCTTCAACAATGTGTTAAGGTTTTATGAGGCAGAAACAGACAATGGGGAAGAGGTCTCCATTTATATCTGTTCAAAGGCAACTGAAGATCCAAGGTTTGTCCTGGCGTTAGGCAAGATCCTCTGCAATCTGGTCCCTCCACTATCCATCTCCTCCCACCTACAGCTCTGCTAGAGGGGAAGGCAGCTTTGTAACACATACAATGCTTGTGATTCTGACTACTCACATCATGTATTTCTCCTAACCACCTCCACCACATGCCATGAACATTTCTGCATCTGCTCAATATGTTTTTCCCAGGCTAAAATCTTCTCCCTGTTTATTCTCCTTTTCAAACCCTTCTAACCCTTTATCTTCCAGGTCCTTTGTCAACCTTTCCTAACTATTCGAAAACCCAGTTATAATCTCATATTTAAATTAGGTCAGACTGTCAGTTCTTCATTAGATCTGCTATTACTCTGCATCCACCTGCCTGCATAGTGTTTGCACCGTGCTATGTATACGACTTGATGAGATTCCCCTTGTTGGACTCTGGGCAGAGTCTGAGTTCTGGACTTCTGTTTTATAATGAGCATTAACAAATTGTTGCTGAATTAAAAAATGGTTGAATGGACACAATGCAGCTGTTTACTTCATGCTTAACTCATTGTTTCTCCAAAAGTCTGCATTCTTGGGGAAGGGCTCTGTCTGTTCATCCTTCCGCTGTTAGGAGTCCTAGCTAGACACAATGATGAATCCCTGCCTTTTTACCTCAAAAACAAAAGCCCTAGTGAATTTACTCTCCCACGCTCAGAGTCAACCAGTCTCCTCTTTCCTCCCACCAACACGCCCACTCTCATTCCCAACTAAAGCTTTGCTTCTTATTTCACCAAAAAATAGAAGCAATCAGGGTTTCCATCAATAAGGTAGACAAACAAAAATTAGGGAAATCAGATGAGGTCAGAGATGAGACCAAGAGGTAAATAAAGCAGTCACACAAGACATGCTGCAGCATGTACCTGTGGCTTCATTCTCAGGAGGAACCAGAGGTTTGGCCTTCAGCTGGCCAAAGCCACTGGAGACAGGTGGGAGTTTGCCCACATAAATCCAAGATCCAAGCGATTCTCTTCACATGAACCAGAAGGATCATTTCAAAATGTCACTCAACAGCTCACAATCCTCCAATGACTCCCTCTTTCCATAAAAGGAAATCCCAGGAACTTTAGGGCTCCTCCCCACCTCTCTGAACTAACTGCCCCTACCTCTTGCCTCGATTTCAGATAATAACTTCTGCTAGACTGACCGGCTTGCTCTTCCCCATGCTATGGTTATTCTTGATATAAACAACCCTGCTACTGTCTATTGGGTCCCTAACTCTTTCTATTCCTCTGTCTAGTTCCAAAACACATGTGCCTTGTCCCTTACTTCATTCAGATCCTGCTCCATACAGTATCCTCAGAACAGCCTTCCCTGACTACAATAAAATTAGACTCCTCACCCTTCATTCTCCTTCTCACCCCAGTTTTATCTTGTTTCACAGAACTTACCATCACAAGAAATTAATTATATTGTTTTATTAGCTATTGATTCTCTTTCTTGCCCACTAGAACATGAATTTGAAAAAGGAACAAATATTCTTTTTTAATTAATTAATTTTTAAAATTTGATACTGTGGGTTAAACCCAGGATGTGGCTCAAACACTGAGCCACATCCTCAGCCATTGTTTTGTTTTGTTTATTTTGAGACAAATTCTTGCTAAATTGCTCAGGGCCTCACTAAGTTGCTGAGGCTGGCTTTGAACTTGCAAGTCTCCTGCCTCAGCCTTCCAAACCACTGGGATGACAGATGTGTGCCACCATGCCCTGCTTTTTAAAAAAAAAAAAATTAATTTATTATTTATTTTATTTTTATGTGGGGCTGAGGATCAAACCCAGTGCCTCACATGTACTAGGCAAGCCCTTTACCAATGAGCCACAATCCCAGCCCACACCTGGCTCTTTTTAATTTAAATTTTAAAAACCAGTTCTAAATCTAGGCCTGAAAAAAAGGGTGTCTTATTCACACATCAGAGTGGACTGTGGAAGAAAGGGGACACCAAAAGACACATGCTAATCATTGTGCGCTATTATAATGATCCCTAGATTTGGGGGACTTAAAATAAAGGCTTACTCCTGCTCTTGCTGTAGTCCAATCTGGGTGTTCCTAGTCAAATGGCCCAAGGCAGGACTAGACTCCCAGTCTAGTGAGCCTACCATCCTGAGACCCTGGAGTCCCCCATTGGATCCTCTGCATCTGGCCTGAAGAAGAAGAACTAGAGAACATAGGAGAGCATCCAGGAAGCTTTAGAAATTACATCAAATCAGTTATCTCCCCTTATCAAGAAGCATAACCAGAACCTACTGCATGAAAAGTTATCCTGGAAAAGGAGAAGTGTCCTCTAGGAGAAAGGACCAGCAGAGGGGAATACAAAGAGGTATTAAAAAAAATGAACAGCGCATCTTGTGAGCTTCAGGTTGTAGATGCGGCTGAATGTATAATATGAAACAAAAAGGCATAAGGTTGGGGCAATAGGAAGAATCTGGATAATGAGGGGCTCCTATGCCATAGCAAAGGGTTCAGACCCATCCTGAGAGTAATGGGGAGCCACCAAATGCTATTAGGAGAAAGGGCTAGAGCATAATAGGATTGAATGCACGTTATTTAAAGAAGATGGCTCTGATGGCTGTATGAAGGGTGAATTTGGGATACAGAAAATGCAGACAAGATAATTAGATAGGAAACTCTTACAGAACTACAGCAAGAAATGTTGAAGGATGGGAGCCAAAATTAAGGCAGTAGTTATATAGTGCTTATTACATTCTTGCTTCTTTCTGGAAAGTCTCATGAGCATGCTTTATGTCTTTGATGTGCTAAAAACTCTAATATTATTAGGGGGCTTAGGAATTCATCAGATAGAGAGGATAACAGAGTCACATTTTAATTATATTTTTAATTGGATTTCTATTGCCTATCATTTAAGAATATAGGTCAGTCTAATTGGGTAAAGCTATTTTCTAATCAATGCTAAGGGATCACTGGTATGGGCAGGCAGGGGGAGCTGGGTAAGGGTCCTACTGACTCCTCACACTGATAGTGAGCATAGGAGGGAAGAAAAGGATAGACACCACCCCACATCCATTCTGAAAATACAATTCCAATTAAAGAACAAATGGAAAAGGATGGACTGTTCATCATAATACTATATTCACCTGTACCTGATGAATTAATATTCTACTTCAACTAAATGAAGCTTAAGGTATTTCCATAACCAAAACTTTCAACATTTTCCAAATTTTTCTCTTTATAAATTTTTATTTTCCCTGAATCAGTACTAATCCACAATAATTCTGATTTTGAATTATTAGATGTACTAAGCAATGGGAAAAGAAAAGGAAAAGCCAGTTTATTAATCTTTTACTCTGAAAAAAAAATTTAAAAGTCTTGGGAAATAGAAGGCAAATTAAAACATCGGTAATGTTTTTAAGGCAAACTTTACAAACCTAAAGTCACATGTAATAATAATATCTATTTTATTGAAATGGTAGAACTGTGAGTGAGTGACTTATTTTTCTCTACCAAACTCTCTATGTAAGTACACTACTTGTTTAATTTAAAAATGAATAAAAAGAGTCACTTTTGCAAATTAATTAACTCATAAAATATCAGGAATTCCTGGATTTAAATTTCAGCACCACTATTTGTGAGATATCGAGCAAATTAATATCATTACCGTCATTACCATTATTATTGCCATTGTATTATTAGATAACATCAGCACATATTTCAAGCTATACATCCTGATATGCACTTTATGTACATCATCTCATACTATCAATCTTCCAAAATATATTTCTTCAGTTGTGACATGGATAAATCTAGAGGACATTATGTTAAGTAAAATTAGGCATAGCACAAATAATTAGGACAAGACCCACTCTAACTTCCAGAAGGAAGTGGTTTT